AAAATATTCCCCATTAAGAACTATATACTTTTGCATGCGCTGGAACCAATTTGCGAAGCACTTTTGCCACTCTGATTGAGGTAACTCCAAAACAAGCAATCTGAACGCATCAACGGCTTCTTCAGGTGTCGAAAAACGTTGACCTCTCATTTTATTTTTTACGATCGGAATTTGTTTCGAGTGCTCAAAAATGCAGTTGTTCGAGCAGATGTGCGGGAGCTCGCATGTCGTGGTGAAGAGTGATTCGTCTTCGGCAGTTGGTTTTCCTGACTTTTTGGAAGGCAACTGGCTAACGATGTATACCACTCAGAAGTGACTGTTCTGCGCTGTTTTAGTGGTACGGTTGCGACTTGTCCAGTTTTGCCAAAAAAACAGGCGACCACTCGCTTGGACGTGCTTCGTGCGCGGACAGCTTTTGTTGGATTTGGCTCATCTTGAAACACCCATACGGTCGACTGCTAATTACTTCCGAGCTCATACGCGTAAATCCATGATCTATCACCTGTTGCGATGTCATAGACGTGTTTCATAGCACCGCGGTCGTATTTTTTGAGCATTTCTTCCGACAAATCGACACGAGCCTTTTTTTGAGGGACTGACAGATTTTGTGGGATCAAGTTTTTTGACAGTCAAATGTTCATGCAATATTGAATGTATGCTGGTCCCTTCAAAGCCTAAGGTTGTCCCAATCTCACGAAAGGTAACATGACATCTTGCAATATTAGTTTGCGCACAGCATGGGAACAACATCTGATTTTGGAGACTTCCACGAAATTCGTCTTGAAGTAAACTATGACCTCGGTTGAAATCACCATACCGTCGATAAGCACTGGCCCTTGATGGAGCTTCATCGCCAAAGGGGGAGGGAGAAAGTAAAGGGGAAGAAGACTTGGCCTAAGTGGGGGGGGGGGGGGGGGGGGGGCGCCAAGGGCCTGAGTAAATTTTTCAAGTTAGTGTAAACAACACAAGGAGCGCTCATATGTCAAAACGTTCTAAGTAAGTATAATCTCAGACATGTCGAACTTTACGATAGAGCTGTCAGTTGTCAGACTGCAACACTAGGATTGCTCAATCCCGAAATATAAAAGGCAACTCACGTACCTTAATAAGGCTATGGCAAGGTTCCCGCGTACCCATCCGATACTTGCGGCAAGACCAAGTTGTCGCCATAAGTTGGGGCTCCCACGAAGGCATACCATCTAGCCAAGTTTCCGAAATTCAAGAAATCTCAGTAAGAGTTAGTTTGAGTTCAGTGTTCAAACGATTAGGAAGAAATATAAGGACACACCCGGAAGTATCAAGAATGACGTCTCCTTTTGTCGGAAGAAACATTGTGCGGCTTGCGAGGAACGATCCGCGTCTCACTGCAGCTGAAATTCTCCGCGGAATATCGACGTCCGAAGGATAAAACCCATCCTTGAACACACTGCAACGTCCTCTAAGGGAGGTCGGTCAGTTTGGACGTTGTCCAGCAAAGAAACCGCTGATTTCTGTCACGAATCGCAAAGCACGTCTCGGTTGGGCTCATGCTCACAAGAACTGGATCGCTCAGCAGTGGCGTAAGGTCATCTGGGGCGACGAATCGAAGTTTTTGTTGTTTGGGACGGATAGAACCAAGTTTGTGCGATGCACTTCCGGTATCAGATACCATTCAAGTTACAAGCTGCCGACCGAGAAAGGTGGCGAAGGTTTGGTGATGGTTCACGACAGCTTCTGTGGCAAAGGAGTTGGTCCCCTTCATCGTATCGCGGGTAAGATAGATTCGAAAATGTACCTTAATATCATGAAGACTGTTATCTGGCCATTTGTTCGTAGTGGCTTCATTTTCCAACGGGACAACGACCCGAAACAGAAATCGAAGCTGCTCACCACGTGGTTCCGCGACAACAACGTCCCTCTGCTGAAATGACCGTCGCAGTCCCCCGATCTGAATTTCATCGAAGATCTAAGGGAAAAAGTTGAGGGTCAAGTAAAAGATCTCAGGGCTTGAAATGAGCACGAAAAGTTCCTTCAGCCGGACAGCAAGGGAGAACATCTCACAGGAGGAGATTGGCAAGCTAATCAACTCCATACCACCCGTTGTCAAGCGGTCATTGATGCCAAAGGTGGTGCGACAAAGTATTAATGTCATGGTTGTTATATTGCTGTTGTACAAAGTTTTGCGTTGAAAAACTGGAAATTCAAACAGATAGCTCAGCTGAGTGTTTCAGACAACTCAACAGTCAAGTACTTGGAAGAGGTGCAAAGTGATTTAAATTGAAATTAAATGTGCACAGTCTCCAACTTCTCTCTTGCTTCAACCTCGGCGTGGGTGTTTGTGATTGCAATATTCTTGTGCCATGCGATGTTGTTAGATGGAACAATTTATCAATCAACGGCCTAACGTTTCGACGCTATCGTCTTCTACAAAGGCCTAAAGCAACTCGAGGCTATTTGCACAGTATCCGATTACGGCAAATTCAAAACCCATAGTTTGAAGCATAGCTCACCAAGGCTCCACCGCTCCAGCGGATATAAATCCGCTGTCGTCACAGGCGACTGTCAATAGCGAATGAGACTTAATGGATACCTCCCTAATATTTGTGATAAGGAAGACCACGTCATAATGCTACTGAGTCACAACTTGTAGTGCGGTATATATGGCAAAGGTCGTCGGTAATGGACAGGCACTCATCTCTACCAATCATTTTAGGATTTCTTCGGAAAATCCAGAACGACTCTAATACCCTTCTAGCTGAAAGGAATCACTTTTCAGCTTTATAGGCAATCGTGTAGCGGGCCAAACGACCGCCCTCTCGCTGCCAATTTTCATTTTTTTATTTGATTCATTACGTTGTTTTCTTATCTTGACCGCGTTGTTTGTTTATTGGTTAATGAATCTCATCGCGAACGTGATTATTGTTCAACAACATACATGGGAGAGACCCAAAGGTCCCCTTGATAGTGAATTTCCAAAGCAACAATGATATCATCACAATATGCCATACCTGTTGTTGTAAAAAAAAAGGAGGAAGGAAGAATATGGAAGAAGTAAGAAGAAGAACTGTGAGAAATCGCACCTTTTTGTTCCTTCTTTCATTTGCACGATTCGAATAACAAAGTAAGCAGGAAATTGGAACGAGCACAAGAGTGCCATCTTCCAGTTGATGTACATGGCAGCAGCAAGCGAAAAAACTGCAGAATGTATTTAAGAGACTCCTATCATGTAAGACATTCTTGCGTGGAACCTTATAACGGTTAATACACAAAGAAGGTCTAAATATAAGTGCGTAATAATATAAACTTAGGTGGGTCTACAGCAGTAAAACACAAAAGTTTGTCCCTACAATGATTCTCGTCCATTTCAGTACTAGAGTAAACGTATGAAGCAAAAATATAAATAGGACTTACGGGGACAGATTACTGCCGGTATGAGAATATCCAGTTTCGATTCCATAATTTTATTCAGCGTCGAAGAGTCGGTAATGATTCTTTGCAAAATACGCCCGGGGCTATTCCGCTCTTCATCGAAATATGCGCATCCGTGGCGCATAATCTGATTGAGAGAATAAAAATTAAAAATAAGGTCACTAGGCTCGCCAAACCGAACAATCCCATTAGAAAAACCTTTCTGAACATGATGCTCCTCATACACGAACAAAAGCCATGGCCATACAATGCGATGAAAAGTCTCTGAAACCCGAGGTGAGAGGTAAGTATTATTACCATGGATTACCAGAGGCGAGGCGGAACTCACACCAAGTGCTTCGAAAATAGTTTTGATGATAATAAGTGCTGTGAAGACAGCTGCAACAATGAAAATCTGATCATTGCGTTCTTCGGCTGGAGCTATCGCGATCTTTAATAAAGAGCCACTGAAATGGTGCCGACAGCAAGATCGCCTGGTCAGTTTCGAATGGACTTGAAATGGCGTCCTACCTATCGAAGCCATCGCCTAAGACGTTATGACTCATCTCGGAAGAGAGTTACCGAGATGAGGGGGGGGGATGGGGAGGACGGGTGAAGTGATTCGTGCCCGGATTCTCACGATCGCCTACACGCACGCGACCAATTTTGATAGGTGTCTCCGACATGAAACAGTGCCACCGTTATCACTTTTGTTCTTCTTCTCACTAGCATTGAGCCGTCGCAGGATCCACTGCTATTGGCAACGCTCTTTGACAGGAATTTTCCTTCAGCCGGCCTGTCAACCTGGCCTTGACGGTGAGGTCCACACCTTTTTCACAAATTTGGCAAGGCATGAGCTCTCCCTTCACAGGGATCAAACTTGTGGTTTTTTGAGTGCAGGCATGAGCCTGCGCTCTCAAGCATTTCGCTAGCCTACTCACGTAATCGTTGATTAAAGGCGCAGACGGTACCAGTATCCTAGCATCAGCACTCACTGTATGATCCCTTTTCGTGGGCATTACGATAGCAATGTGCAACCCGTGGCCTTGACGAATCGTAGTGCGATTAGAGATGCACAGCATGGGCAGGATGTCAAACAACGAGATGCATATTCGCGTGAAGTGGTTCTACCACATAAGCATGGCTAGCACCACGACGGACATTGTGGCATTGTGTTTTGTAAATACATAGCAGTATGGCTTGGGTACTAGGCATGGAACGTGCCCCACCAAGCCATGTTTTGAGACACAGTTCACGATTAAAACGGATCCTGAGATTTCTCCCAAAAAAGAGCCTGTGACCCCGAAGTATAGCACAAGGGAGGCTGTCGGGTCGAAAAACGGCCTAGATTAGGCATAGAAGGGACTCCATAACGCTTAGAAGACGAACACACCCAAGGGCGGACGAGTTGTCATGCGTTGTAGAGGCTGTAGGGGTTGCATCATTCGCAGTGGGACTCATACGCTGCACGCAGTCAGCTTACCGCAGCCATCTGTCCGCAATGGCCCACACATTTTGACAGGCCGTCCAAATACCCCTTGCCACGCAACTTTTTTTTATCATTTTCTCAGCCATCCATAATTTAACTTTTTTTAAGCCTTTCATTCCTTTGAATGCGCCCAATTTCGCCTTCTCTTCGCGACCTTTGTACTATTCTAGACCACCATTTCCATTTTTCGCCTGAAATTAGGTACCCCATAATTATCGTGGACTGTGCCTTTAAACACAACAATCGGATTAGCTTCTACACTTGGGCCCTATCGAGTTCATTCAAAACCGACATCAAAGTATAGCATTAATATAGATTGATTGGAAAAGGTTAACTCACTTCAAGTACGGAGGCGACTTCAAAACAAATTAGTAAGTAGAAGAAAGCTCGCAAAATGGTGGTCGGAATTGCACCCGCAAGCAAGGCATAACCTTCGCGATAGTTAGCAATAACTTTCCAAACTGCACTGAAGTTGGTGGATTTTCCTGGCAGCTAAAGAATTTTATTATATTTCATCCAAATAATCATTTTATAATTATTCATCCATCAACAAAAAGGGATCAATGTTCTTATCGGATGACATAAACCGAGCTGCAGTGAAAAATAGATTCTTCAAGTTACTTCCCGCCGACTTCACAAAATCCACCTACTAAGCGGCTGCACCATAATCTGTTGCATTTGAGAAACTGTTATTAAGATACAGTCAAACAAATTTCTCCTATCTCTTGAATGCCAGGAAAAGTTGCGCAATTGAGCTATTTCAATTTCGAGCTCTGGGACACGTTCAATCAGCGACACGCTTTCGTTGAAACCTGCGGCTGCTCATTTTTCGACACGTTCAGACTGCGTGGTACCAAAGTGTTGACCTAGTAGCGATGTGTCATGCCTGGGCTACCACTTTGGACCGTATTATACACCAGGTGACATCACATTACCATTGTCTTGAATATAATCAAATAACCATGGCCTGTAAAACAGAGTAGTCCTTACTACCGCGGTCGCGTCTGTCACGAATCTCGATCTTTTCTGAAGAAGCGCCTGGAGAGGTTGGCACGGGTTGGACATATAACGATAACAACAGATCACTCGTGAGCTCGGCGAGAACCCGCCCACAGGGAGCGCGACACCGGATTTTAGCGATGCCATGGATTCACGACTCGATTCGACAAAGGCGTGGAGGCCAGGAAAAAAAGTAAGAGTGAACAAGGTGCAATGTGTAATGAGCATCCTTGAACCGGGGATTTCCGTCTACTATGGGCGGAGCGCGTTAGAAGCAGACTAACGTGTAATGTATAAAGTAATGTATAACAGTGTTCAAGAAGGTTAGAAAAAAGGCCAGACCCAGAAACACTTCATACATGTTGTTTAAGGAAGAGTGGTCTCAACTTCATGGGGGAGTAACTAAGGTCAAAAGTCAGCAACTCTGCTCAAAGACGTTCGTAAAATCCAAAATTACTCTATATATAGAGCCAACATGATTACTTACTACCTACTGGTTCATCATCAACACTTAGTACATGTGAAGGATTCGCTCCTGTCTGTCTGACACTGTGTGTCAAAATCGCATTTTCTGAATAGGCACTGAATAAATCAAGTCATGTTTGGGATGGGTGTTTCCCACAACAAGACTAACAGAGCATATATAGCTTCAGGGGTTACTCGCTCACAGGCGGTTCAATATGCACCACAACGAGCGGTGCAATGGGACGGTGCAATGGGAGAAACTTCACAAGTTTATTTCAGAACACTCCGGACCCGGAACAAAATGGGCGAAGGTAAGGAATGGGTTAACAATTCAGATTTAAGAGAGCCTTCCGAGTTGGAGTAGAATTATCAAAGTCAGCAATACTTTCTATACGAATATAGTCAGGTTCTTGAGGGATGGAGCTAAGATTGAAAATTCATCACTCTGTTAGATGCGTTATTTGTTGTGCCGCACGCTCAATATGGGGAGCCCAACCGATAAAGGACAAAGAAGTTTGCATTGCAATCACGCTATTGGATGTGCCCGAGGTTCAAAACTTGGAATTAAAAATAGCTTGCTTTTTCTCGGGAGCAGCATAATGCTCGAGAACCCAGCACAAATCTTTCCGAACTCTCTCGCGTCAGAGAGCCCACCGCTACATTTTTATTCATATTAATTGACACGGGCGATGGTGGCGTAGCACCAAGTCGCGCACTATCATGCAGCATGGCCACGGATTGAATCCAGGGTGAATATCCGCCTCGGCCAATCAACCCTTCGGGATCGGTCAATTGATACGGTACTCGCCTGGGAGGTTAAAGCACTGACTCGTACATCGGCTGGTCATTACAAGTCATTGTATAGGCTATATACTTATCCAATACGCCACTACGATCCTGGAAGAAAGTCGAATGCGGGTGCGCATTCCTCAGACGAGACTGATTAACGCCCTATGACTGTATCCTGTTTCAAGCCTGTTTATGAGTTTACATGGGTGACAACCGGTCGAACGACTTCCACCTTACGAACTAGACGCTGCCCCAATCAGCTACCTTTTATTTATTTGTTTATTTGATAATACATCACAAGGATGTGACACGAGAAAATAAATAGGAGCTACAAGCGTTACAAAGTCGCTCATCCCTCGAATTCCTCGCTTAACGGCGCAATAAGCGAGCGGAGCTGTCATCGATTCACAGAAATGTAATAAAAGTAATAAAAGAAGACATAACTCGGGGATTCAGGGAAATACTAGCCAAGTCTCCGGAAAAGACTGAGCCTTACAAATCTTAGGATGATATAAATATTTATAAATGTTTAGAACGGAAGTTTATTACAAGCCATTAAGAAGGCGAGGGCAAGCGGGGTCTCAGTAGTGCAAGGGGTAAGAGCACGGTGTCCGGATCACACAGGGACGGATTCGAGTCCCGTCCGAGGCCGAAGTCTTGTAGATCATTCGCCAACCTTATGAGACTTCCGTTTCGCGTACTGCGGCGAAATGTTAAGTTCATACACGAGTTTTTCCCCGTGTTTGATCCTTCCGTCTTTCGTTTGCATGGATGTTGGTATTCCGCATCACGTATGCGTGACGTGAGCATGATACTTTTTCATCATACGAACCATCACTCACCCACCCTGCATATACAAGGTCTCAGAAAATTATGGGCGCCAGTAATCAGAAACTTCGACAGTAGGAGTAATTTATCATAATCACCTGTATCACCTGTCGTCCCGTTGATCATCGACTTCCTCGAGCGGGCGCCAGTAACGTCTCCATTCGTCCCAGTCACGAGCCAGAGTGGTCCAGTGAATCGTTCTCGCTTCGGGAACACGAGATTCAACATTCCTTTTGTTCAGAGCTTTCGTGAAGAATCTGACCATCTCGTTGGCGGCCTTCCTGGAGTTTGTTTGATGTCCCGAGGGATCCAGTCAGTAACCGCCTGGTCCAACGGTCATCACTATATCGCATAACGTGTCCGGCCCACCTGATCTTCGATTTCTTGGCGTAATCAACGGCATCCCTGATCTTCGTTCGGTGACGGAGCTCGGAACTCCGAATTCCCTTCTGCACTTGCGTGTATAGGGAAATTCCGAGCATCGTCCTTTCCAAAGCGCGTTGAGTAACGCTGACAGCATGCTCATCCCGCTTTCGTAGAGTCCAGGTCTCCGAGGCGTACGTCAAAGCAGGAAGGACAGCAGTGTCGAAAAGGTGAGCGCGGAGCCGGATGTTCTTTGTCTTCTTCACTACTCTCTCGATATTCTTAAATGCTCTCCACGCGGCGCGTTTCCTTCTGCACAGCTCTGGAGCTTAGTCGTTCATCATGTTGACTTCCCGACCTAGATACACATAGCTAGAGCATTCGGAGATATTCGTTCCGTTTAACGTGAAAGGAGCATCAGGTAGCAATCCGTTTCTCATGAACATCGTCTTCGTTAGGTTCAGCCTCAAGCCGATCTTTCCACAAGCACTATCAAACTCGGACAGCATTCGTTCCGCCTGCTCGATGTTCGGTGTTATAAGCACGATGTCGTCTGCAAAGCGGACGTGATGTAGGAAGCGGCCGTCGACCTTCACTCCCAAGTCTTCCCATTCCAAATGACGCATGATATTCTCGAGGGCGGCACTGAAAAGTTTGGGCGAAATAGTATCGCCTTGCCGAACACCTCTCTTCACGTTGACAATGACTTCCTTATAGAATGGTGAAATCCTGGTCGTGAAGCTGTCGTAGAGCTCACGAAGCATCCTTATATATTGCGTAGGAACACCCTGTTTGCCCAGGGCTTCAATTACCGCTTCTGTCTCAACGGTGTCAAAGGCTTTCTTCAAGTCGATAAACGTAAGACATAGCGGCATTTTGTACCCTCGCGATACTTCAATTTATCATAATATAATAATAATATTAATATTCACTATACCCCGTAGTAATTAGTTGCATTAGAAGGTTTCCTTGCAATGTGCATAGTTACTGAAGTGAAACTCTCAATATTTTTCAGATGGCCGAGGCTCACTCAATGTCACTCGCAATCACTGACATGCGTGAGGCGGAAAGCTTCATAAAAATTCTTGTGATTCCTATAGTATCCGTAAGGTAGGCTACTTAACGATACAGAGAAGAAGATTCAATCTGAGACAGATCAGGAGCGGGTAGGAAGGCCAGCGTTCTTGGAGACAGTACGATCAAAATGATCCGTTTGCGAGTCGATTGTGATTCTGGGTGACCCAACAAAAAGTTGGCAGAGGAGCAGAACTTATCGGAGTTGTCGGTGGCGAGGGCTGGCAGGCAGAAGCTTCGTTGCAATTTCAATCTTATGCAGAAATTCCACTACGTTCTCCAGTTCAACAGGCATGTAGAGTCAAGAAAGGGCAGGAAGTTGCTAACTCTCTCAAGTGGAGGCACGCAACACTTCATTGTTTTCTTTGGTCAAAAAGTTTTAACGAAAAAACGATCAACAGAATGTTTTTTGAGGGAGCCACTGCCAAAGGTAAGACGCCCGTGCTTTCGTCGGTGCTGGCATAGAAATGACAAAGATTTGAACTCAAGAGCATATTGATGGACTTAGTGAAGCACTGGGCCGATCCCGGTCTTCAAAACATTTTGTAGCCCTTCCAGCAGGACTTTACTCCAGCCCATAGAGCCAAGCTCGCCCAGAAGTGGTGCCGACGCTAGCTGCGCGACTTCATTAGCAAATTGGATAGGCCATCCTACTTTCCTCATGTCAACTCACTTGACTCCTCCGCATGATCTCTGATTAGAAGAGGACCTGCCGGGTGTGCAGTCCCAGTTTGGAGTCCTGGAAAGCAAGACTCAAGCACGACTGGGAAGAAATGGTGGAGAATATTTGCCTGCAACAGGCAAGGAGCACGATAGTAAACTTTGGGCCTCCATACATGCTCATGGGGGGTATTTTGAAATTTGATTGCAGCATGTTGTAGCGCATAATGTTAGCTAACGTGCTTGTAGATTCCATTGTCTAAATACATTGCCATGAATTGGCGCCCATAATTGTGGGACACCCTATACATACGGGGGGCGCGCGAATCACGCGTGACCCCATTAGAGCTCTCTGCGCTTGCAGCATCGTTTCAGTACCTTTCTGTTGAGATGGACCAAATAAACTTGCAGTAGTCCACGGTTTCACCATGAATGGAGCAAATCTCATTACTATGGCAAAAAAGCCCCTTCGAGATTGAGAATTCACCTCATAGGTCAACAATTTACTCGCCAAATGTTCAAAATAAGAATACCTTCAAATTTTTTGATTCTAGAGAACGCAATCCTTCTGTAAACGTGCATAGTTGGTCATTTCTTTACTTATTCTACTTATAAGTTCTTATTTCTTCCGCTATGATGGTAGGCATGATGTTTTAGCGCTTTTTGCCCGATGACATTATATTGGCGCGTGAATCGCACCACACCCCTACACATACGACGATGCCGCACAATTACCACTTTGACAGAATGTAGCTACGTCACAGCCTGGTTTTGCTTCACAATTTCGGCTGGAACGCAAAGGATGCCCACAACAAGCTAGCGGAAAAATACGGCGAGGACGTCATCTCTTGTCATACATGGAAGATTTGGTTCACCAAATTCAAGGGGGATTTTTTTGGAAAGAGCTCGGGTCGGCCGATGAAGCTGGATTTGCAAGTACTACGTTCCACTGTGAAGGATGACCCACACTCAACCACGAAGGAGATGGCGACCATGCTCGGCTATAATCAATCGACGATTGTACGTGGACTACAACAGCACGGCAAGGTAGCAAAGCTTGGCCAATGGGTCCCACATGAACTGCTCACTTATCACAGGGTAACCACCTGCACTTTTCTTCACACTTTCCAGGAGGACCTCCACTCTGAACTCGTTGATCACTGGAGAGGTGGGTCCTCTACAATAATCCTATGAGGAAGCGGCGACAAAGTGGGTCGACAAAGGAGAATAGCCAGAAGCCACCCAAAGGCTGGCTTTTACTCCAAGAAGGTTCTCTTGACGCTTCTACATACGTTACCCAGCTGCGGGAACCGAAGTTCATGTCGACCGTACTCGTGGATCGAATGCGGAAATCTACTTCCTCCGTGACCACGCCCGATCTCACACTGCAAAAGTGACCCAGGCCGAGCCGAAGAAGTATGGATGACTTATTCACTCAGCCTCTCTGCAGCTCTGACCTTGTTCTTTCCAACTACTGGCTGTTTAGCCACCTGCAGCGCTCTCTGGGCGGAAAGAAGTTCGAAAAGGAGAATGGGTTCAGAAGGCACTTGACACTTTTTCAAGTCCCAGTCCCAGTCCTTTCAGGAGGAATGGCAGCGTGTCTGAGCGTTGGCGCCGAGTATTGGATGGTGATGGTGCATACACTTATCTTCAGGTTTGTTCGCTGTTGAGATAACTACAAAAAGTTCCAGAAGAAAACTTATGCAACAGCCTAATAACTGCCGTGGTCAACAAGCATCAAGTCAAGCGATTGTTTACTATTTTGCGTTTTACGTCTTTAATCTAGCTAGCACGTGAGAGAATTTCTAAGAGTGGCAGAGAAAACTATGTTAACTCACATGATGTTCAGTTTCTTCGTATTCAGGCATTACATCGATCTCAATATCCATACGTCCAACGCTGGAACACTTGTAATCCAGGCGTTGTGAGCGCTTCTTGCTCATAACTTGAAAAAGAATAAATTTCTGTCATAGCAATCTTCGCAAGCATAAATAGTTACCAGGAAGTCTTTCCTTATCATGGCTAAGGACTGAGTACGATTTTCCGAGCTTTTTCTTCTTTCCTCCGAGTGAGCTGTGATTCCAGGATCGTCGATGTTGTAAGGGGTGCTAAACGAGTCACATGAATGCATTCTCCAATCAAGGAGGTGCACCCACACAGTTATTCTTTTTGAATTATAGTGTGCAAAACCTATGTCCCCTTTCTCATATCTTGCTACTGTAGTGTTAGGACGTGCTGAATCTATGAGAATGGAGCCTCACACCGTTCTCCAGTGATCTCGACCCAATGGTGAGCGGTTTCTCCTAGTGGAAACCTAGGTGGTGAACTGCATGTGACCAATAACAACCCTTCACTTTGTTTTTACGATTCAAAGTTGGCATCTTAAGGCGAAGCCATAATAAAATTGTGTCTTATGTTACGGGCATAGTTCATGATAATGTTGAAGGTATCTCATTCAAGAAGAAGTATGGGTAGAAAAGTGGCGACGGAAGCGCGAAAATCGGTGTACCAAAATATAAGGCCCAAAAGTGGTAAGGAGATTCAGGGTTGGACGAGAGTGTGACGATAGAAGTTGCATGGAAGGGGTGTTGGGGCGAGCTGTCCAAATGTGTATACCATTAGAATGAGCTAGTTATGGAGTCCTTATTATGCCCTATTTAGGCTATCGACCCGACAGCGTCTCCTTCAGAGTCACAGGCTGATCTCAAAGAGAAATCTCAGGGTTCATCTTATTGCGAACTGTGCCTTTGATGTTTGAAATCTACGAAACAGCGCCTCCCTATATCTGAAGACTTTGTAAAGTTCTGCAAAATGATATGTAACAGAATGCTCAATATTTCAGACATATATCACATAGAATGATTCCACAAACAGTGCAAATTGGAGCAAAACAGAGCTTATGAGGTTTCATGTGACGTTCTAAAGAAAACACAGGCATCAATACCATTCATAGTCGAAAAGGTAAGAATAGCGGAAACCTTCGGTGCACTTGCCAGTCCAAAACGGACTGTATATTCTAAGAACATTCTGGTGGGTAGAACATTCTGGTTTCACATAGAAGCAGATACTTGAAATGACCACAAGCCCATTCCACATTTATTGCGTAGGAATTGGGAACGGGTCAATGGAATATGCTTTGTACATAGTTCGAAAATTAGTTCAAAAGTGAAAAAAACACTAAGGGAGTTGGAAGTCAGAGTAGATGACCATCACCGTACTCTCGGCAACCCCATACCTGCAGCTACAATACTGCTACTTAATCCTGGTCAACCGGCGGTTTGCGACAGGTCAATCCGTTTGCGACGGATTAGTCCATCGCGAATCTTCGCATAGCCATAAATTCCCATAAAAAGCTTTAATTAAGTCGAAAGTACTGTCAGCTTGCGCATCCGCTTGCGAAGAATCCACACAGAACCCATGACATATAAAAATTCCGATATCCCTCCCTTTTTTGCACTCATTTCCAAAAAAACTGAAAGCTGGTTTTCACAGCACCTAGAGTGTTACTTGAAAACATAACAGCATCGCAACCCGCCCCCACTTCAACTGGCAACTTCGCTCTCAGCTTCCAAAAGAAAATGACTCTATGTTCGGTGAGTGCATGAAACTTGACCATTTTGACATCTTCTATGACAAAATTTCAACATCTTCAACTGGAAGCGATGGTTTGAATCACCATATTTATACCTAGCATATATCACCATAGACACTTGCAACTTCTTTTCAGCGACCTATTCTGAATGTAAAACTAAGGACAGTTTTGCATACGGGGAATCCGGTTGTATAAAGAATCTCTTATCTCCTTCAAATTTCCACCTTTCTTTTCACGAAGATCGAAGAGTGAGCCTTCAAGACCTGAGGTGTTACCTGCAGGTATAACATCATCGCAAACCCTCCACTGCAATTGGAAATATCGTGCTCACTTTCTGAAAGGCATATTTGGCCCTATATTCGAGGGAAGCATAAAATCCTGAGCATTTTGAAAGTATCGTGCTCACCTTCCGAAAGGCATATTTGGCCCTATATTCGAGGCAAGCATAAAACCCTGAGCATTTTGTTATCCATGATGGCGTAATCCCAACACTTCCATCTGACAACAATAATTCAATTTCACAACTTTTCGAGAATTTGCTAGTTCTTTTCGGCGCCACATTTCATGAGAAGCAAAGCAGCATGAATGGTATCAGCACACTTACACTACGTGCTCACCTACAATGTGGTGTCATGCATGCCTATCACAATTGAAAACAAGGTTCCAACTTGATTGAATGGCTTACGATGCTGTTATGCCTGTAGGTAACATAATGGGCACTCGAAGACTCAAACTTCAACGTAAGTGAGAATAGAGCTAGAAAATTTTTTTGGAAAAAAAACCCGGTAACTCAGTATCTAACTGCGCTCCTCATAAACAAACGGTCTTCGAACAAACTACATGGCTGGAAAAAAAGTAGCAAATTTCAGCTGGTAATTCAAACCACTGCTTCCACCTGAAAGTGTTTAAATTCTGTCATGAAGGATATTAAAATGTTCACGATTCCACGCTCTCATCGGATATTGTGCCATGAACACCTTTTTGGAAACTGAAAACGAAGTTTCCTGTCGAGGTGGGAGGTTGCTATGTCCCCAAGTAACGCAGTAGGTGCTGTGAGACTCAAATTTCATTTTTCCTGGATATGAATGCAAAAAAAGGAAAACCATATTTTTCAGATGTCTTCGCGAGCTGTGGTTTCCGCTGATCTTTTTGTGTTAATGGTGTTAATGGTGTCGCAAACGGATTGATCTGTCGCAAATCGTCAGTTGACCATGAATTAGTAGGAGTATTGTAATTTTTCATGGCGGTCTTATGGAATTGTAACGGGTGTTCCTCTGTAACAGATGTTCTTCTCGATTGTAGCAGTATGCCTCAGAAGCAGTTGGAACTATATTTCCCAGATAGGAAGCTAGTTGTTATTTTGTCCTCATTCTATGAGATACCACAGGAAAGAAAATTATAACACATGGCATTTTAAGGTCTGAATGAATGAACGAATGAGAGAATGAATGATTGATTGAATGAATGGATGAGTGAATAAATGAATGAATGAATGAATAACTAAATAAATAAATGGAAGACTGAAAAAACATCTAAATCAATCAAATACTCGCAAAAGATTCATTAAAAGGGATCCTCATTGCGAGGCGAAACTGCCAAACTCTCACTTTAGCATGGTGTACTGGCAAAAAGCTCCGCTCAAACTCACGTGCTTTCAAAGTGGCCAGTGTAAAGCTAATGTTTTGAAACGGTGCTAAGTATGATTCAGTGATAATTGGATAATAAATGGTCTATAGTTTAATAACTCACTGATTTACAATAATTTAGTTATAGCAATCTAACATATCTAGTTTTCCATTACGGTAATGCCACAAGGTAAAATAGAGAGCCACTGGCAATATCGAAGGACAAACGTGACCCACCGTTTTACACACCTAACGTTTGTATTTGAAGGCATACTGTATCAGCTGTACTCGTGAACACTGTCGTGGTATGATGGACAGTGGTCCTGGTGAGGTCATTCGCAACTAGTAATAAAGACGTCATTTGATGTCAAATGGGAACTGGTTGCTCTCTATTTGTATGCGTTCTGGTTACTGCATCAAATGGACAAAATGGAATTGCACAATAGAGAGTGAACGCAAAATATAATCGCAGATGTAGATTGATCAAGAATAGAGAACGGATTACAGAGAAGCGGCATTCTTTTCAAGGGGGAGATAGGTCAATTTAATTGGTCAGGATAGCGACCTAATTGCACATCGGCCTGCAAATTCAGTCTACCGAAGTCAAGCCGAAGGAGAACAATATATGCTTACTATTATCTGGGGTCACGAGCGGAGGTGGTATAGTGGCGAATGGCGCACTATCTCACACGCACGCCACGGGCACAAATCCCAGATCGATACCCGTCTTGGCCAATAAAGACTTCCATCCACCCGGGGACGATCAATTTGTATCAGATTCGTCTGGGAGGAAAAAAAGCACTGACTTGTACATTGGCTAGCCACCGCAAGTCATCTTATAGGCCCCCACACGCAATGATTGCGCCAGTAAGATTCAAATGGGAGACGAATGCGTGCGCTCATCCCACAGAAGGGATTAATTGACGCCCCAAGAATTTATCCTTTTATCTGGGTCAGACAACGCGCTTAAGCGTGCAAGACTATCTAACGATGACGTCGCGGAAGATGGTTAACTGACCTTGACATAATCATGCCTTTGATCCCAACCCGCATTATCCACTCCTTGCATACGATATCCACTCTCAAATCGACGGCATACGGAATACACATCAGAAAAACCTCTTCATATGTATGACACTGCAGCCTAATTCCTCAATGGAGCATTACGCTATGCTTGGTGTTACTGACAGGCAAGTTGAATACATCCATCAAAGAGGTACTGCATGGTCCCCATCTAAGACGACTGTTCTGCTTCCAGTTTGAGGGCAAATATGTAACTTTTTGTTTCGAGTCATTCCCAACCATTTCGCCCCTACAATATGGCTGCTGATTCGTGGTTAACAGGCGCATTAATTTTCTGCAAACCGTCGCTTTACCGTTACCTCTATTAATACGCTGAAGACGAGAGCCTTTTTCGTTTGCACGCTTATGGTACGAGACCGTTTCAAAATGCTGGCTAATCGTCAGTCACCATTGATCGACATCGTCCCACGGGACAGACACCAAATTGAGTTTACAGTATTCATAAAGTATAAGCTATTATGTATGTAAAACAGGTGAAAACTTCGTGAAACAAAAGAAAAACTGGTATTCTGTTAAGATTTGAACGAATATTCTAAAATAATGGGGCATTGTAGACATTTCGGTGTATGAGGCTTTGAATGGTAAACATTCATGGGAGATACCATTTGAACGCTCGGCGCGAAGAAGATTATGGCGAAGGCGTTGTTAGAAGGAATTCAAGTTTGTTGTGGATAGCAGTGATCTCGGGTTCTTCCGGAGTCGTAGCACTTGTCGTCAATATGGGTACTATGGCCGATGATGCTGATGTCCTGGAAAGATGTTTTGACGATTTGCTGCTCGAAAGCGACGCTGAGGACCTATATGAAGCTGGGAAAGAAGATGGATTCGTTCTTGCAGTTGTGCGGGAGTAAAAAGACTTTGATACAGATGACACCGATTCGAATGATAGATGGATTCTCAACGAACCGGCAGGAGTACATCGAGATGTGGAACACTGTGAAACCCCTCTCGACTTTTACGAGCTATTCTTTTCCGAGAATCTGCTTGAGCTGGTTGCGACACTAACGAATATATATGGCTATCAGAAGAGTCGATCGTGTAAAGAGACAGATATTAAGGAACTGAAAAGATTTTTTGGTCTTTGCTTACAAATGTCGTGGTGTCCCTTAAACAACTAGAGGAACTATTAATGTTCCACTGAAACCTAGAAATCTAGCGAGAAATGGACATTCCATAGCCGGTGGCATTATGGTGAGAAATCGATTCGAAGAGCTCCAACGATACCTTTATTTTGCTGATAATAGGAGACAGGAGTAACAAATTGTACAAGATTCAACCTACTTTGGAGTACTTGAACGGTAAGTTCCAGAGCATGTATAAATCGGAGAAGGGGTTGTGCATTGATGAGTCTATGGTGCCATTTGCGGGCGAGTCTCCTTCTGGCAGTGTAGTGGAGCCAAGAGGCACAGGTTTGGTATCAAGCTGTTCAAGTTGTCTCCAGAGCTGGAGGCAAAGTTTACGCCGGGAGAGATCCAAAGAGAACGAGGACAGTATCTGAAACCGCTGTGATGGAAATAATGGATGGATTTTTGAAGCAAGGCAGGTGCTTGTGCACCGACAACTGGTACACGAGCTTACCATTGGCCCAAAGGCTTCTGAACAAAGGCACCGACTTAGTAGATACTTCGAGAAGGAATCGGAATGGTGTACCCGCAGCACTGACAGACAAAGAACTGAAACGTGATGTGCTCTTCTATAAGCAGAATCAGAAGGGAGTGCTGATTCCGAAGTGGAGGGATCGAAGAATTATCCAAATGCTTTCTACGAAACACGACGCAAGTTGCCAGCCTGATGGGAAACCTGTTGTCGTTGCCGACTACAACATGATGAAAGGGTTTGTCGATCTTTGTGTCCAGATGGCTGCTTACACGCCTTATCTGAGAAAGACGAGCAAATGGTACATCCGACTATTTTACCATCTGATTACCCAAACGGCTCTGGTTAACGCTTGGTTCCTCTATTGCGAGAAAGCAAAAAAATCAAGATCAACTTCTTGAAGGAATTAGTTGTCGATGCTCTCATTTATGACATCACTGCACCAACTCCTACTAATAGGCCATCATCCACAAGAAGCTTGTTTCTGATCCGCGAATGAAGTCCAAAGATAAAAGATCTTGTGAAGAATGCTACAGCCTCATATCAAGGACCCATGGAAGAACAGCGGCTAGAAACACTGCAAAGAAAACCAAAACAAAGTGCAATAAATGCGATCAGTTTTGTTGCCTTGAATGTTTTCAAAATGTCAAAGTTCAAATTGTTGAGTTTGGTTGATGAATCCAATTACATAAGCTTTCTAATGTGATTTGGTATTATGTGTGACTCCTCATCTGGTACTTGATGTTTGCATAAGCATAAAGACCTTAGATTTAGAAGGATCATTGGTCGACGCTAAAGTTAGTAACTTAATAAATAAATGTAGAAATTGGAACAAAAGAAAACTGAGTTTCTCTGAATTTGGCTGACCTACAGTACTGTCGGTCACCTTGATCGACATCGTCTCGCAACACAGACTGGTTGTCGGTCAACATTGACCGACATTGTCGTCAACGTATTAAAGTGCTGCAATTAAGTATGCAGTAAGATCACCGGAAACTCTGCCTATGAGGATTAGAGTCATTCCGAAGTTGGCTTTTGTAATATAACAAACAGGACCAAATACCTAATGATATGCAGTTGTCCAAGCAAAAGGGGTGCCTGTTTCTTGGGATCACACATTTATGAAATTCGTGCCTGTTTCTTGGAGATGACAAATTGATGAGATTTTATTTCGTAACACTCATCAGCACGAACTCAGCGATGTACCCGTCGACCCCACCATGAGCTGTAGCTCAAACTTTTGATCACCCCGCTGCTGCGCAAATCTTAGACGCCTGACACTGACACTGCCTGCCAGGGAATGGCTGCGGTCGGTTGCGTTGCCTAGACTGACTTTGCTGTACTACAATATAACTGTATAGATGAGAGATCGATGCACAAGTGCAGCACTCTCAACTTCTCAGGTATTCTTGGGTGATTGATGGCCCAGGTCAACTCGGCATGAATTCTGCGTCTATATGTTACGGCTCGTTGTTCTCAGCTTGGGGTCACTGAGTTATGGAAATGTTGCTTCCTGGCTTACATTATTATGGTACCGCTAGTATTGCTTGGTTTTTTACACGTATTGTAGGCACTGTTTATTTCTTTCGTCGCCTCGCGTTCGACTAGAACTTGTTTGGCTTGCTTGGGCGCACCAAGGGTGCAATTTAAATAAATAAATAAATGTGTCCGTGTGTATTTCTACTTTGAAATCACTAAAAAAACAAGGGACAAAATAAATCCTCAACCATTGGAATATCATTGTTCATGTATACATATATTAGGCTGACGCATAATTATTGCGGATTTTTTTGCGGCTTCTTTTCTATCGACACAATTTGAATATTGAATTTGAGATTCAATAGGAATAATCTTCTCGCTTTTCTCAACAGAAATGCGTCTAGAAAGTCATCTTCATATTTGCCAAATTATGATCTACCGTTTCGAGAAAAGGTTGGAAGGTGGTAGAGTCATTGAGTGATCTCAACGAACTTGTCAGTGATGGAACAATCAGCCAAGGCCATGTGAGGAAATCCTCCATATTCACCGACAGGAACTTTTTTGAATTACCACATCAACCTTTCGTTGAAAGAATGGCTAGCTAACAGCGATACGACGGAATGGATGACTTGATGGCCGACGTCAAGACGTGGATCGACTCCAAGAATCGAAACCTCTTCGCCTGTGGAATATCTTTGCTAAATATTTTATCGTTTTTCCAAATAGAATTTGTTGAAAAAATCCGCAATAATTACGCATCAACCCAATAATTGGCCTTCGTCGAAGTTGTTAATTAGGGGGTAAGGTGTTCAGCTCGCCGGTATTCCCACAAACTCTGGATGGTATTCGATACGACATGTTCATTATTAGATAGTTACCAAGAGTCAAACTATACTATTTGGGGCCGGTAGTGTTGTCCAAGAGCGAAAGAGGCGGCTTGCACAAGACTTGTCTTGCCTTGTGGTTGAGATTGAGCTAATATGTCCATTCGTTGGTCATTGTAGAGCTGAAAACATAGCACGTGGGTGAAAATTTTTTATAGCATGCGACAACGCCAGATAATACCCTTCGAAATCGACTGTCTTCTTTTGCCAGAAGTTCGTCTAGGGGACCTTCCTCAACAATACGGCCCTCATCCATGACGATTATTCGATCACAGTTCTTCACTGTTGACAGCCTTGAAAGTCTATTCAAAAATGATTCTTAAGACTATACAAAGTACTCGATTTTCGCTCGAACCGATATAGGGGATTTGGAGTAGCTCAACTAGTCGATACATATTTTTTTGAAGAAAGTTTCCAAAACGATCTGATTCGTCTACTGTCAGAGTAAAGGGCTTGCATTTACTATCCAGCTTATCCGGATGGCCACCCAAACACTGCAAGTCACTTATGATCACAACCTCTCGGTTTGAAAACGAATGAGAATTGAGGAAATTAGTCGGTGATTTGCTTTCAAAGTTACTACCTGTGCGCAATTGTTATAGTAGTGAGACCCTCAGATGCGAGGTCGATGGCATGTTGCACTTCTTCCTCATGGAGGTTGTCCAAAGCAGATGTGGCTTCGTCAAATAGCATTACAGTTGGTTTTCTAAAATCAGAGCTAAAAACATACACATAAGCCACGAGAAGGCTTGGCAACGAGTTTGCTGCACCCCAACATTAACAATGCTGTCGACTCCCCGGTAGACCGTCTTCCTTGTGGTATCTATGCTCATGTTCCTTACTCAATATGCGCTACTACTTGTAACGGGGTACGTAGTAAGGCCTCACCTTAATTTCGCCCCAATTGATACAAGTCAGCTTTTAACTTACAGTGAAGGTGTAATACAGTAACCCCCTCTTCCCCAGGTATGTCACACTACGTGCGTCCGAGGCCGCGCGCGGCGAAGTTGGTAACGATTTGAACGACTTTAGCGCTTATCATTGGGGACCGAATTTGAAGTAGAGTAGATTGGAGGATCATCTGACCCCACGGCACCTTTTTGCTGCGCCGTACATGTGACGGGTGTTTGGAGGTGCTTCAGTGTCTTCGAGTTACTGGATAACACGTTCACGAGACATTGAAACCCGTCTTAACCAGTGAATGTGTTACAGAGCAAGCCGAAGGCACAAAATGAAATACTCATCAGCATAGCGCAAAGCAGCATTTTTCCCGTATTCCTGTTCCCGCGTTGCCTGACTCAGGGAGCGCGTTTGGCACGCGACGCGACGCGTACCACCGATCGAGTCGCATTTGCTGAATCAAGTTTTAACAATACTAACCTAATTACTGCTCTGGCGATAGCAACTCGTTGCTTTTGTCCACCTGACAATTGCAGACCTCTGGAAAACATCAAATCTTTCAGTGAACGGATTTGCGTTCTCAACTGGAATTGAAACGATTACAAAAGTGTGGAGAACCAGTTCACCTTTCACCAACTCTTGTTTGCATTCCTTCGGGTAAAGAACTGATGAATTGCCACGCTCCCACTTTTCGAGCAGCATCGTTGATTTCTTGCTGAAAAGAGGGCCTTGGAGGGAAATGTGATGGCTACTAGTGACTTCGATCGATACAAAGGTAGGTCAAAGAGCGATTCAGTCGCTTTCTGGAAGTGGGCCGTTAACTATTTACTGTCTCCCTTCAAAAAAATCTTTTGAAATAATACGGTGACCACTGGTTCTTGAATCTGAGGTGTGTTCTGAAATCCCGCTCACAACCTGTTCCTAGTTCTTGTAAGCCTATGCTGTCACAACTTAAATTTTCAAAAAAGGTAGAGCGAAAAAAATAAAAATATCACTCAGTCAATTGTGCCTCTGGCTTAGAGAACTGCTGACCAGTGAGTGTACATAGTAGTAGGTCTTAAACAATTTCGAGTACGACTAGTATGCTGAAAAGTTTCATTGGTCGACCTGTGTGGCGTCAAGTCGGCCGTATCGTATGTTATCACTGATGGTTCCGTCGAACAGCACGGGCTCTTGGGAAACTAATGAGCACATTCCACGTAAGTCATCTGGGCATAATGTTTTTAAATTATCACCGTCGAGCAGAATCTGAAAAAGAAAAGTTAAAATCGCAGTGCTACGACAAATTATGAAATGCCTGGCTCTGACGATTACGTTAAGGATTTGCCGCGAGTCCAGGTGTCATTCGAAATCATAAATGCAATATAATGAAGGCTAAAGTGTTTTGACGTTAATCAATCCACGCATTCCAGAGATATGCCGCTGCATTCGACTTCAACTCGGGATTGTATGAAGTACTGAGTGCATGTATGGCCCATACAACGACCTGCGGTGACCAGTTGATGTACGAGTCAGTACTTTCATTCTCCCAGACGAGTCTGATGCCAATAAACCGACCTGAGGGGATAGAAGGCTTGGTTAGCTAAAATGGATAGCAGTTCGGGATTCAAACCTGTGATCAGTGATAGTGGGTCACTTGTCACTATTCCACCTCAATCCCAAATAATACCCAAAAATGTTCGAAGTGTGAATACCTAAAAATACTATTATATCAACAAACCGGACGCTATCTACAATACTGCTACTAGTTCATGGTCAACCGACGGTTTGCGACGAATTAAGCCGTCGCAAACCGTCGCTTTGCCATAACTTCAGCTAAAGTACTCCAGTCAAGCTGAAACTAAGATCATCGAAAGCTCTTCACGTGAAGAATCCAAATGTATAATGATCTTTCGATTTTCTCGAATTTTCCGTCTTCTTCGCCGGGAAAAACGGAAACCGTGTCTCTCAGCACCTTGGGTGTTACTTGCGGATATGATAGTATCGTAAACCCTCCACTTCAATTGAGAACTTCGTTTCCACTTCTTAAAAGGGCCTAAATCGTGCTATAATTGAGGAGACTGCAGAAAGCTGATGATCCTTAATGATAGAATTCAAAAAGTTCCAGCTGAAAACAGTGATTTCAATGATCAACTCTTCAAGAATTTGCTAGTTCATTTCAGAAGTGCACTTCCTTGGGAACGATTAATTTGGCATTTACTCAGAGGCTTCCATTATGTGATCTGATATTCTGATAATAGAAAAACGAATGGTTTCCTAATCGAACGTTGAGCTAATTGAATTCTCACCATCGATTTCTACTGGTCCATCGCCTTTGCTATTGCCGAGTCCATCAAGAGTACGCCTGCTGACACATATTGGTATGCAACTGGCAGAATGAAACTACCACGCTATGATAAATACTGTTTGACTACGTATATTAAGTTTAGTTGTACTACCTTGAATCGCGTGCAAATTTTCGCTCGTACAGAGGGCTATCTTGACTTGTCTAACAGCTTCCTATTTGATGGAAACTGGGGGGCACTGACACTAAACAGCGGCCGAACTAGCACAGAGTAGCACACATTGCTTGCCAACAATGTTGCTTCAGCGTTTGCAAGCGCTCTGCACGACCGAGAATCCGAACCCGCATGGGGTCCAGGTCGGGTGCAAACGTGAGAGGCTGCTTTCATAGTCCGCCGGCCGGCAGGCGCACTGACGTAAAATGAATTAGTTCATACGTAAGAAATCTACGCCTATTGCATTTTATTTCACGGTTCTGACCTGTTCTGACCGTGA